TGAGAAACAGGTGGAGGTAGACAAAAAAGGCAGAGGTGACACTGTTAAACGACATCCACATCCGTCCACATGCTGGAGGTTAGATGGTTTTACAAAGCCACCTAAAGACTGTTAACCCAAAAGCAAACAAACCTGTGAACAGCAATACAGGTCTCTAACTCCCTGTGTGACTTGGCTGAGTTTTCTAACCTCTCCCTACTTCTATTTCCTCATCTGTAAAATGAGTGGACTGGATAAAATGCCTTAGGGTACCCGAAACTCTAAAATCACCAAGATTTCATTATTCTAATCAGGTTTGACTTTACTTAGGTAGTTCTGCACTTTATTAACAGAGCATTAGCTCCTGTAATATCTGTCCTAACAAAGTCCAAACAAAGCCCACCCACTCCATTGTTTTTGGCTTTCAGGGTTACCTCTCTGGCAGGGATGGAGGGTGGAGAGGAATTCATCAAAGATACCTGCTGTGCAGGTTACTCTGATAAATAATGTTTTAATTAACTCCTAGAGTCTTAACAACTCCCTTGTTAAAAATTATTAATTTGTCAACATTTCTGGAGGGAGCTGACAGTTTGGTAGGAATTTTGCATCCTCTCAGGCAGAAACGTGTTTCTCAATTTCTTTCCTTCCAATGCTTATCCATTTCCAGATTTCTATATGTTTTAAATGGACTTAGACAAGGTTTACAAAGATTGGAAGTTCATCCACAAAGAACAAAGAGAATGTGATGTAGTTCTCCAGGGGAATGCTTCATTTGCCACAGAAGTGAGCAGAAAAGATGAGGAGACAAGTGGATAATCGAATAAGAAAAGCAAGCAGATGGGACAAAATAGTAAGAGACCACAAACCAGCTGCTCCCCACTGAAGAATCCTTCTTGAAAAATGACCCAGCTAACAAGAGGAGGGAGGGAGGAAGATCAGAAAACATAAGCAAGTGTTTGCACAGGTAGACACTGGATCAAGACAAATAGAGAAAACAGTGTGCTAGAGCAACAGTTAGGCCTTCAAAATAACGAAGCAAATCTTGCTCACTGGTCCCTGGAGCTGGAAACCACCACTCCAAACGCTTTGCTGTACAGTCGTCTAAGAACCACGGGAAAAAATATGATCATGAACAGCTCCAGCTAATGTTGAAATTTTGAAGCAACAATATTGCTGTGGCCAGTGCTTCAAAATACTACAATGTATATAGTGTATCAATAAAAACATACTTGGGGCCAGCAGGTGGCATAGTGGTTAAGGCACTGGACACTCCCACATGGCTGACCACGTCCCAGACCTGGTGGCTTGCTTTCTCACTTTCCCTTTCTTCTCTCTCTCTCTGTCTCTCTCTGGTCAAATTAAAATAAATGAATGAATAAATAAAATTAATAAATAATTATTTTTTAAAAGGAAACATACTCAAAACTATGTATTTTCATTTTTCATGCCTTTGAATACTCATTTAAGCATTTCGAAATTGATTTTCATTTGACTTAATACAAAAGTTATAAAAAAATTTGGTGAGCACCAACAAAAAATTAAATATTCTTTGAAATGGTTCCTCTGTTTCTAAAGTTTTTTTGTATATATTTCCAGTTGAATTATTTTTCAAAATTATAGCAAAATTAATAAGAAAATTGCATGCACTTTAAGCAGGTTTATAAATACTTTAACGTGTTACTTATTAGATGTCATTTATTGATTACTTATTGAATTCAATAAGCTATTGAATACAGGTTTTACTGAATGTTGTAAACGTGTTGTCTACTAAAATAGCAATCTTACCATCTGAAATTCCTTTATCTTGGTGTAACATAATGCTCTGTTATAAAAGGCTACATAATTATTTTTGTCCATGTTGACAGCTATGTTTAAATCTGTAATCGCTAATTTATAAGCCTACAAAAAAAAGGGGGAAGAAGGGTAAATAAATAGATAAGAAGAGTAAAATACAATAAAATAAAACTTAGTTGTGAAAGAAATTCTTCACCCTATCAGAGTTTTGGAACATTTTCAAACATCCAATGTCTCATCTGTGAAATTGAAACAATCAAGCTTATCTTTCTTTTTTTTTTTTTAAAGAATTATTTATTTATTTATTTTGGTCATTCATTCATTTTAATTTGACCAGAGAGAGAGAGAGAGAGAGAGAGAGAGAGAGGGAGAGAGAGAGAAAGTGAGAAAGCAAGCCATCAGTTCTGGGACTCAAACTATGGTTGGCCATGTGGGAATGTCTAGCACCTTAACTACCATGCCACCTGCTGCTCCCTAAGCTTATCTCTCATAGAGTTATTTAAGAAGCTTTTCTAGGGAACCAGCAGTTAGCGTAATGGCTATGTCGCTGGGCTCCCACGTAGTCGACCGCGGTTCGTGTCCCGGACCCGGTGGCTTAAAACTCACGTCAGGCACGTGTGCGTGCGTGCCCAAGATCCCGAGAGGAGAATGGAGGAGAAGAGATTGCGGCGTGACCATCCTCCCTGGGGGGTGATTTCTCGCTTTCTGTCTCTATGTCTCTCTCTGTCTGGCGAGCGCACGGGCCCTACAGTGAAAATCTCTCCAAAAAAAAAAAAAGAAGCTTTTCTAGGGACCAGCAGATGGTGTAATGGCTATGTCACTGGACTCCCATGTAGTTTAGTGCAGTTTGAGCCCAGACCCAGTGGGTTAAATTCATACCAGACACATGTGCCTGTGTGCTCAAGATCCCAAGAGAACAGAGGAGAATTGTGTGGCATGGCCATCCACTTGGGGGGTTGATTTCTTGCTTTCTGTCTCTCTGTCTCTGTCTTTCTGATGAGTGCACACATCCTATACCAAAAACCTCTCAAAAGAAAAAAGGAAACTTCTAGAAGAAATTATAGTTTTTCTATAAATAAAATTAAACACATCAACAACTTTAATTTACACAGTTATTACCTATGATGCTATATGGTGAGGAGAAAATGAATTATGGGTATAATTTTATATAAAGAAAAGTAACCCATATTCATCAGCAAATGTTCACCAGTTGGCTTGTTCTGCCACTCAGACTGCTATATAACACTACCTGTTACTCAGACTGTAATACCACACAACCATGATGTTTTCTACTAACTTTTTCTCTTACTTCCTCCTAGATTCTTCTCTAATACTTTATATCATCCATTTCTATAATGGTAATTTTCATGGAGTTAATACATAATACAAGGTCTTATTTTTGCTTTAAGTAAGGAATTATTTGCAAAATATTTCATATGAGATAGCTACAAAGAAAGGTCAGAAGAGAATAGTAGGGAGAGACAAAGTATTCCATGTACTATCAGCTATCAACCACGCTGTTCATACACTTTAACCTAACAATTTCTATTTAAAAATCAATCATAAACTCAAGCAATAATTTTGTTATTAGTTATACATAACTGCATCATTTATTTGTTCATTAGGATTTTGCATAGGCCACATACTCTTGCCAGAGAATGACAGAGGGAGATAGTGAAAAGGAAAGTAAGAAATCATCCCCTAAAGGGAATGGCCATGCTGCAATCCTTTCTTTTCTGTTCTCTTCCTGGGCTATTGGGCATGCATGCACACACACCTTGTGTGATCTTTAAGCTGCCAGGTGTGGGATTCAAACTGAGGTCATACTGGAGTCCAGTACTTTAACCACCGCACAACTTGCTGGATGCAGACTGCATCATTTAAAAGTAGTAAGCCCAGCTGTGGTGTTGTTCACTGCTACAGATGCTATTTCAAGGCTGAGGTCTTTCGGGAGACCAGGGCTCAGTTCTGACCCAATGTAAACAGGCATACTTATTGTCCTAGCTATTGGGAAAGCTGAGGCAGGAGGACTGAGACACATCAAGACTCTGTCAAACATCGATCTCACTCTGTCTCTCTCTCATAAGTAAATAAAACATTTTTTAAAAGTAAAAAATGGGAACCAGCAGGTGGCATAGTGGTTAAGGCACTGGACTCCCACATGGTTGACTGTGGTTTGAGTCCCAGGATTGTAAGCTTGCTTTCTCACTTTCTCTCTTTCTCTCTCTGGTGAATTGAAAAAATATAATAATAATTACACTAACTTAAATAATACTTTAAAAAATTGAAAATGAAAAACAACCCAAATATTTAACAATGATGTGGTTAAAAATAAAATATGGCAGAATATCATACACTCAGAAAAATAGCACCTTCAAAGATTAAGTATAAGACACAACACAAATTACATAAGTAGCATAATACTGTTTTGAAAAATATATATTTACATTATCAGAAAAATACAAAATTAAAGCAAATATACCAAATGCTCTCAGAAATTATCATTTGAGGGACCAGCGGTTAGCGTAGTGGCTATGGCGCTGGACTTCCATGTGGTCGACCACAGTTCGCGTTCTGGACCCAGTGTCTTATAACTCACGCCGGGCGCGTGTGCATGCGTGCCCAAGATCCCGAGAGGAGAATGGAGGAGAAGGGATTGCGGCGTGGCCATCCACCCTGGGGGATGATTTCTCGCTTTCTGTCTCTCTGTCTCTATCTGGTGAGCACATGCGCCCTATAGCAAAAACCTCTCAAAAAAAAAAAAAAAAGAAATTATCATTTGATAGTGGGATAATAACCCTTTATTTCTTTCTGTATTTTCCAAATAGTCTAATAAATGTATATTATTTTATTAATAAAAATAAATAATAATATTTATGGGTAGATGTCAAAAATAAATATTGCCACATTGTGGGGTAAAACATCTATGAACCAAAATTCCTTTTGATGCACTGTGAAAGCGCGAAGTGCTCTATACAGTTCTGTCCTTCATGCTACAGTGATTCTCCACCCACAGAGAAGAAAAGGAAGTGGGAGTCCCCATTTGGCATTCAGAGAATTCACTCATTTTAGGGTCCTACCTTGTTGTAGTATTTCAGAACTCCTCTGTAGAGATAGGCCCGCACACTCTCCGGACAAATTCTGATAGCCTCGTTACAATTCAAAATAGCTTTGGAATATCTGCCTTTTGAACCGTAGAAGGCTACTCGACTTAAATATGCCTATTCTCAGAAAGAGAGAAGAAAAACGGGAATGGATGCTTTAGAAAAATTATTAAGGAAAATTCTGAACAAACAGAATCATTGAAAATAATACTATAAAGATCACCCATATAGCGATCACTTGGATTAATAATTATTCACATTTCGCCATAATTGTTTTATCCATTATTTTCTGAATTAGTCAAAAAGAAGTTGAGGACATCATAATACTTTAATGAAGTCTTCCAGTATGTATCTCCTTTAAAAAAAGGCATTACCTATGTAACCACACTACCATTATATACTAAGAAAATTAACAGTGATTCCTTAAAATCATCTACTAGTTAATTCATATTGAAATTTCACAAAATTTTTAAATCAGGCCTCACCTATTAAATTTTGTGTTGTTTTTATAGGCTATTAAAATGCAGGAATCAATATGATAGTTTAAAATGTTAATCACATAGTGTATAATTAAAGGTATTAATATCTATGTTAATGTTAACAATATTTATAAACATTCTGGTTTACAAATTCTTTTACATACAGAACATCTTTGATGGAAATAATATTTTTAGTTAAATAAGAAATGCAGATTTCTGGATTATCAAAATACAGGTCATAGAAAGATAGGTATAAGTTGGGGCCAGCAGGTGGCATAATGGTTAAGGGCACTGGAGTCCCACATGGCTAACCACGGTTCAAGTCCCGGACCTGGTGACTTGCTTTCTCATTTTCTCTCTCTCTCCCCCCTTCTCTCTTTCTCTCTCATCAAATTAAAATAAATAAATAAATAAAGTTAAATAAAATAAGTCTTTAAAAAAAAAGCTAGGTATAAGTAACTGATTACTGCTAATTAATAAAATGGCATGTAAAAGATGCAATCGTTTTATAAGAATTAACTCACTTTAAATCACTGACAACATTTATTTAAATACCTGATAATGTTTTGGATTGATGGTAATTGCACGATTAAAATCCAGGATTGAGTTATCCTTTTGGAGTTTTATTTTGCAGAGCCCTCGTTGATAAAAGCCTTCTGCAAAATCAGGATTTGTTTTCACAGCTTTTGTAAAAAACTCAAAAGCCTGAAAGAGCACATTGCTAAAATGAAAACCACTTAGTGATAAAAGATATTATTTGAAAATGTTAGTAAGTTACAATATATAACAATTGTTGGAAAGTTTCACTCTATTCTTTGATCATTTTAAAGAAATTTATTCAACGAAATTTCTGGAGCAACTAAAAGGAATATTTAGAAATAAGTCAGGCTTATTATTATTATTAAAGGCCTTATTCCCAGACTAATGTCTACAATAATTTATGTCATTAGATTTATAATGTTATGGAAAGCACAACTTTAATCATTATTCTTCAGATTTTGTTTCTTCAGAGAAATCATAACCAGCACTTCTATTTCCCCTGAGGGCCCAAGAACCACATAATATAAATAGTTATAAAATTTCAGATAATAGAACTCTAAAATTTTCCCAATATTGTAAAACAAAGTTGAATTTGCTCTGGCTGTCCAAAAGGACTAGAAATATGGAAAAAATATGTCTGTCTCTCTGGTGAGCTCATATGCCCTACAGCAAAAATCTCTCAAAAAAAAAAAAAAAAGAATGTTCTGGTTTTAATGAATCTGTCCCTTTCTTTTCTCTCTCTGCTTTTTAGATTTTTGTCATAAGGCATGTGTGCTTACCGGAGAGAGAACGAGAGATAGACAGAGAAGGAAACTGAGAAATCACTCCCCAGGAAGGGATGGTCATGCTGCAGTCCCTTCTCTACCAGTCTCTTTCTGGGATTTTGAGCACACATGCATACATGCCTGCAATGTTTTACAAGCCACCTAGTCTGGGACTCAAACTGCAGAGTTGACCCTGTGGGATTCAGCATTTTAACCAACACACCACCTACTGGCCTGAGTCTGTCTGTCTTAACAGGTTTCAATCTAATTTGAATAGTCTAATTGTCAATGAGAGAAGCCAAACACTGTCCTCATCATTTTTCATTTAGTCTACATTACATTGAAGTATTCAGTATGTAGTAACTATAATTTAATATGCAAATTCATACCAATATGATAAAATTATTTTTCTATAATAATTTCCTATAGTTATATTTAGTATTTGGTAGGAAACACACACTAGTCTTTTGAATATTATTGACAAGCAAGCATCAAATAAAATGTATTAAACATATAAAACAATGTCATAGATAATTCAGGCTCTAAACTAATATGAGCCAAGTCTTATAGAAGTTTTGAACTCATCAAAACTAGTCAAGGCAGGAGACAGCCTTCAGAAATAAAACTGAATGCAATCAGTTTCTAAAAGCAGAAATAACCTGAGCTTCTAAATACCCAAAATACCATTTGTAAGTTGCCTTCCTCCAAGTAACAAAGACCCAAGTTATACAGACAGTCTGCTGAAGTGGCTACAGCATTTGGTCCTTTATCCGAAAGAGAAAAGACTTCCAATGCCTTCTTAAACATTTTCATAGCTTCCTATAACAATTTGGGAAGAAAAAAGTGTGAGAGAAGTAGGGATGCTTCTTTCTAATATTTATGTAGCATTACATGTAAGTATTAAAAGGAACCCATAGCACTCAGCTCTTCTCTCATTTCACTCGGGAACACACTTCTTGTCAGGAGCATAAGAGGACCCAGTTCAGGATCATCATCACAGCAAATCCCACTTAGGGACCTAGCCTATAAACCAGTAGTTAAACAGGTTTGCCCGCATGAATTTGTGGAACTGTAATTTCTAAATTTTCTTTTTTAAAAAAATAATGTATTCTATGAGTGAAAGAGACAGGGTCTCAACAGGGTCCCAAGCCATGATTCACCCCCACCTTCAGCCAATCTGGATCATGATACACACGTACCTGGCATACTCAGGGATGTTTCTCACAATCTTCCCATGTGCATCTGCATTGCAGAGTATCACATTTTATGACTATGCCCCCACCAGCCCCATATTATTTCCAAATTTTCTTCTAGTCTTAAATTGGACCTAAACTTATGGACTAGTTTATTGTCAATTTTCAAGTAATGTTCCTGAACGAAATATTAAGGAGCTACCAGGCAGTAAAAGATCACCTCTGATAATACTGACATAATTTTAATCAACATTTATTTTGTCCTGTCACACTCTTAATGAAGTTCTATTGGCACCAGAAAATAAACTACCATCAAAAATGACCCCTTGAATGATTTAGTCAAGATAGTTTAAAAAAAAAACTCAGTGAAAAGATATAAATTTGTCAAGTTGAAATGCCAGTTAATAATGAACTATAAAATCACTATATATAATCACTATATATATAAATATATATAAACATGTGTTATTCATTATCTTGTAATGGGCCAGAACTTGCCCAAATAAGTACAACCTAGTACTAAATGCTGTTTCATAAATGTGCTTAGAGGACTAGTGTGCTGAGAGGGCCAAGGCCAAGGGACCTAAAGTGGACTCCCGCTGGGGGGAGGAAGTGAAAATGCTGGCTGCAACAGTGTGATCAGTAAGAACAGTACCAGCTTCAATCTTCTATTTGCAATAGAAAGCTTAATGGACCAATGGGAGTGCTCCCTGAATTAACCACTCAGAACTGCCCATGTTTCAAATCCTCTATTTGCATAAAAGGATCCAATTGAAGACTTGAGCAGGAATCATTGCCCTATAAAAGCCCACTCTTGAACGTCGCTGAAGAGGCAATGTTTTAGAGCAGTCTAGCTCTTTGTCTCGCAGTTCGCATCACCCATAATAAAACTTTCCTCTTTGACAAACCTCATGGTCAGAGATTGGCTTTTATTGCAGGAAGTGACTGATTCCTCTTGCTCCATCTAGGTTGGTTCAGTAACAATCTTATTTCTTAAATTGCATTAAATTGCTAAAGAAAAGATGAGATTTAACTCAGATATGCTCAGTGTCCTTCTTGGTCCCACATCTAGGTTGTTTCAGTAACAATTTCATTTTCTTAAATTATATTAAATAGCTAAAGAAACAGCGAGATTTAACTTGGGGCTGCACAGTGTTTTTTAGTGCTGCCCTTTAATATTAACTCCACATGTTTACAACTCACCTCAACATTTATTATTCTGTCCTTACAGCAGATGACCTCATCATAGAAAAATTGGATTATCTTCTCAATGGTCCTCAGTTTTATGTCTCATCATCCATTTTCATTTGTTTCTCTCCTGTCTTTGAATGGCTTCCCTTTTTTGCCTTTTCAAAGATAAGTCCTCAAGCTATGTCCTTAACCCCACCCTCCTTTTACCCCACCTGAGTACAATCTGTTATTTCCTTCCTCCTTTGGATTTCTGCCCCTTCCCTGTCTCCTTGATTTTATCAAGACTTCGGTCTAGTTTGCTAATGCTTTCAATGCCACTGAAATAAAAAATGAACACATCTTCACATCCTCCTGCTTTCCCCATCTCTCCTTCTCTACTCTATGAAGTCTTCTCAGGGAGATGAGGAGGGACTTGCAGATAAGGCAAAGCAGTGCTGTTACTGCCACATGCATAAAAGCTTGGAAGGGTGTGAAGCTGTTGTTATTATTCAAGCAAAGTTACACACACACACACACACACACACACACACACACATGCACGCACGCATGCACATTCTGAACCAGGACCATGACCATAGAAAGAGGGAAAAGAAGTAAATTTGAGAGAGACTTAGAAAGTAGAACCAAGGGATAGAGTAAAAGAGGGCAGCCAAAGGTGATGTCCAGTTTATACTAGAGCACAGGGACACAGCAGTGGAGAGAAATAGAAAGTATTCCTAAAAAGATGAAGAGATTGACAATTTCTTATGTGGTGAAAAGTAGACAATGATGCATTGCATTTGCAACAAGGAAGTCATTAATGAAAATATCAAGAGCATTTCATTGACAAAACAAGAAATATGACCTGATAAACGTAAAAAGATGCTCGGCCCCATGCTCAGAGAAAAGGTGAATTAAGATCACAATGAGATACCAGTTTTTATCCACCAAAGTGGCAGAAATAAAGTACATCCATACCAATTGCTGAAGATGATACAGATCAAAAACACTCATACCCTGTAGATGGAGGAACAAACTGGTACCACCCTATAAAATAATGTGTCATTTTCTTGAAAGTTAAACTCTCTCATTCTTTCTACATACAAGCAGTTCCACTCCTAGAAATAAATCTGGGAAAACTACTCCACACTTTAACAAAAAATATGAAAAAAATTTTTAAAGAAACTCTATTATTATTAAGAGAAAAAAGGACCCAAATGTTAATTAAAAGAACAAATAAGTGAATAATAAGTAAATAGTACAATATAGTTTTGTAAAAAAAAAGTATTTAAATCATCATACTAGTGTACAATATATCAATGTCATTAATAGGTTTAGTAAACATTACTCAGAGAACTTTTCACCTTTGTTCTCTTGGCCTTCAGATGGGCTTTTGCTAATAGAGCATACATGGTTATATCAGGTCTACTGCTTGAGATCCCATCCAAGACTTCAATGGCCTTGTCATGGTTTTCACAAAATGAATAAATGAGTGCTTGCTGTATAGGAGTTAATTCAATGAGACCTAAGAGGAAAGCAGAGTTATCAACACATTTGCCAAATATCAAAGATTTAGAATACAACTACTTTAAGAAAGCCAAGAAATTTAATAATTTTTCTTTATAATATGAATTAAATCAATATTATACTGTGATCTATTTACTACCAGCAAATAGTAAGACATGACAACTACAAACAAAAAAATTATAATTGTAATGCTGATATTTCCTACAATAATTTTTTACAAAATTCACTAGGTTATTTATGAATCATTTTACCATTTGATGTGTACACGTTAAACTGAAAATGTTTCAAATGTATTGTAACTTTAACTTTCAAATGCCACCTATATATAGCTACTACGAATAGTTTAAAAATGTAAGGAAGTATTTCTTAAGTTAAACAATTATAATTGTGCACTAATTATATTTACCTTTGTTCATTTCTGCTACTTGATAAATAGTGAATTTTGCAAGATCATAACATTTCATCATAAGAAGATATTGTCCTCTGGAAGAAATAATAGCTTTTTAATTCTAAGCAGTTAAAAATAATTGTTTAAATAAAATTTCTTATAACCAGTTACTTAAAATTTTACAATTATAGTACATCCACTCATATTTATATATGTATGCATTAAAAATGTAAAAAAGTAAAAACATTTTATATAGAATAAATAGATCAATGATCATAGAGATAGGATTAAAACAATTTAGAAAGTGTGATGCTGAAGACAAATAATATTAAAATCCCTTTTTATGATTATCTTTGTTTAAAATTATACAGTACTGGGGCATGCAGGTGGCATGGTGGTTGAAGCACTGGACTCCCACATAGCTGACCATGGTTCAGGTCCTGGACCTGGTGGCTTGCTTTCTCATTCTCCCTCTTCCTCTCTGTCTCTCTCACTAAATTGAAGAAGAATAATAAACAAAAATGTTAAATAAATAATTATCTTAAAAATTAACAAAATAAAATTATACCATACTTTGTTGCTGAGAAATTATTAAAAGATAAAGTTCAAGGGAAATAAAAGGGGGAAGTATTTACATAAATTGCTAAAATGTGGCCCAAGAAATAAAAGACAAAGCAAGTCCTCCTCAGAATGCTTTGTTCCATTCCATTTTCCCTCATCTATAAATTCTCAAAACTCATATTTTTGGTAGTGGTAACTCATAACTTGAAAAGGGTCCCTTTGAATCAGCTAAGGTTTATGTTTAATATCTCTATGAACACAATTAAAAACAACTGTCTGGACTGACTATGGGGCACAGGCAGTATGGCTCAGTTCTGGGATGCAGGAACTGCCTGGAAGGCCTGGGTTTGTATCTCCGTGCACCTGTGATCTTGACTGGCCTAGAGTCTGGAACAGAAAGACTGCAGCATGGTGACCCTGTCAAAGACGTCTGCTTAATTCTCTCTTGGAAAAAATATATAAATAAAACATTTAAAAAGCACCTGTTTGAAATGTTACCTCATTCTCAGGAGATACATGTAAGTCTATAACTAGTAATCAAGATAACTCTCAAAGAACTTAACCACCAAGTAGTTGTGTTTTGATGCAAAGGTAGGACAAAGGGAAATATCTTTTTATGTTACGCGATAAATTATCTTAAAATATAACAAAAGCAATAACCACATCTGGTTGGTTGGAAGATAACTCTTGCCAGAAAATTCATTGTAAAACAAGAAGGCTGGAACGATGAAGAGAGAACTGAAGGTCCCCACAGATTGCTCAGATGTAGTTATCCCAAAAAGAATGAAGCTTCTATGCCCGTACCTCATGATATATAATTGGATTCCATCTGGCTGAAGGTGGATAGCCTGAGATAACTCATTCACTGCCTTTTTCCATTTATGCAGCTGTTAAGTAACAAACAGACACTTAGCTACTGATAATACCAATCACTTTCTTTATGATATTTATTCCACCATTTACTATAGACATTTTGCAGGGACTTCGCCTCATAGACAATATATATATATATATATATATATATATATATATATATATATATATATATATATATATATATGATGTAGTCTACTGTTTTTTAATTATTTACCTTTAATTTTGAAAAATAATTATACCCACCAACATATATATATAATTTTACATAAATGTGATTATATCATACTTTCTAGTATGTGTGCTTTTCTCTTTTTGTTTTAGCTTTTCAATTTTTCTCCCTTAAGTATGATGATCTTTTCACTCAACTTCACCTATGTCAATAATTAGCATGCATGGGACCAGCAGTTGGCGTAATGGCTGTGTCGCTGGACTCCCACGTAGTCGACCACGGTTCGAGTCCCAGACCGGGTGGCTTGAACTTACGCCAGGCGCATGTGCGTGCGTACCCAAGATCCCAAGAGGAGAATGGAGGAGAAGGGATTGCTGCGTGACCATCCCCCCTGGGGGGTGATTTCTCGCTTTCTGTCTCTCTGTCTCTGTCTGTCTGGCGAGCGCACGTGCCCTATAGCAAAAACCTCTCCAAAAAATAAATAAATAAATAAAAATAATTAGCATGCAAAAGACAGTAAAATAAAAAGTAAAAGTCAATGTCACTTCAATAAAAGGGAAGAAAAATAGGCTTGCACCAAAATTAAGAAAATGAATGAACAAACAAAATACAAGAAGTATAAACAAATGAGATATATGTGACATCAATATACATATAATGACAAACATTGAATCTTTCCTAAGTATTGATCACAGAAACACAATCTGAATTTGTACAAATTTTGGGACAAAAGTCAACTACTACTGGATAAATTACAGAAGTACTATACACACACCAATAAAATTAACCTGGAGTAATCAACCACTCTTCTTATTATAATGATGTGATAATGCAAAGAAGAGAACGTGAAGAACTAATTTGTGCTTGGAAGGAGGCAGTACCTGAAGAAATGGTACAAACTGAAGGAAACTGTGTGAATGGCATCAAAAGAAGAAAGCCAAAAGGAGGAAGTTTGAGATTTATTAAACAAATTGGAGAATTTCTGGTGAACATCAGGCCTACTGCTCCTTAAGCTGACCCTGCTCAAGCTGATATAATAAATGAGTCCTCTAATGGTATGTCCACGTCAAGGTACCTGTTCTACCATTGTACATATCTATGCATTGAGGAGACCCTGGTTTGGGACAGATAGAGGCTCACTCTCTGATCTCCACAAGTTTCCTAGGTATTGAACTTCTACAGGCAGTCTTAGATTAGATTCACCCTGGAGGCTGAACCAGTAACAGTAACAGTATATATTCATCTACATACATACGCAAGGGTTGATTTATAATGGTTTTATTCACATGAAATCATATAGCATACAGCATACACTCTTCTCAATCTTCCTTTTCTCACTTGAGAATATCTCATGGAAGTCCCTTCAAGTCAGCTGGCATAGTTATATTTTTCTTTGTACTGACTCTATAATATCCCATGGTGTGAATACTGTATAGAGATTTTGACCTCTCAGAAGAAAGAGTCATTGAACACGTGTCGTTACACTCTACTGTCCTGCTGTCTCCTGGTTCCTGTGTGTGCTCAGGAGAAATTCGACTCCTTCAGATGGTCTCGGCTTTATCAACAGGGTCGACTTAAACCAAAGAACCACACGTTAAAAGTGTATCTATGCCTGGGCTGGCAGTTGGCCTGGTGGTTAAGACACTAGACTCCCACGTTGCCAACTGCGGTTTGAGCCCCAGACCTGGCAGCTTGCCTTCTCACTTTTCCTCTCTCTGGTCAAATTTAAAAATAATAATAAATAAAATTAAATAAATAATTACTTAAAGAAAAAATAACTGTGTCTAGGCTTCCCCCAGTGTAGGTCAAGAGCAAACTTTCCCTGAGGTCAACACTGAACCCATTCTGAGTCTTCTACCCCCCTCATTGGAAAGGTAAGGACTTTGAAGGGGATTGTAGCCACACTGAGTCCTGAGATATAGACAGTGTCCAGGACACCCTCAATGGACATGTCGTATAAGCAAGAACCACACCTTTGTATGTTCATATGGTGATGCTGAGGGTGGTTTTTAATCTCAGCATAACCTAGCCTATCATTTTTTTTTCTTTTTGAGAGGTTTTTGTTACAGGGCGCATGCGCTCGCCAGAAAAACAGAGAGACAAAGAGACAGAAAGTGAGAAATCACCCCCCAGGGGGAATGACCACACCGCAATCCCTTCTCCTCCATCCTCCTCTCGGGATCTTGGGCACGCATACACACATGCCCGGCATTAAGCCACCGGGTCTGGGACTTGAACTGCGGTCGACTACATGGGAGTTCAGCGACATAGCCATTACACTAACTACTGGTCCCCAACCTAGCCTATCTTGACTGAAGCCACATGGCTAGAGGACTTACAGGAAATGAGCATGGAAAAGTAAAGAAGACCAGCTCCTGTGGGCTCTTCCAAGTCTTTGGCTTTTTAGGATTTGGCTTTTGTTCTAACCACAACAAAAGGAAGCTATTGACAGGTTTTAAAAAGCAAAGAAGTGAAATAATCTGACTTATGTTTTGGCAAAATCACTTTGGCTGCTGTGTTGAAAAATTCCTCCAAAGTGGTAAAGAACAGAAGCAAGAAGATCAGGAGGCTATTACAATAATCCTGATGAGAGGGACCAACAGGTGGTGTGGTGGCTAAGTGTTGGACTCCCACACGCAGACCATGGTTTGAGTCCTGGTCCTGGCAGCTTGCTTTCTCACTTTGCATCTCTCTCTCTTTCTCTCTGTCTCCCTCCCTGTCTCTCTCTGGTATGTGCATGTACCCTTTAACAAGTTTAAAAACATTAATAACAACAATAAATAAAAGTAAATCAATAATTATTTTTAAAAAAATAATAATAATCCTTATGAGAAATGACAGTGTCTCGGACAGGGCGACTAGTCATGAAGTGATGGAAAGGGTTATCTATTTTGAGGATAGAGACGAGAGTTAACAGGGGTCATTTCTGGAAGTTCAGATTTAGTTGGGGTTAGGGAACATTTTTATGATTTACTGTATTGTTTGAATTTGTTGAAGATATGTTCAATTTAATTTTTCATTTAGATAACTTGTTAAAATTAAGCAAAGTTTCAAGAAAAGTATGAATGGTTAAGATCTCATTCTGTGTATGAATCCCATTCTTTGAAAACACACAGATACTCAGACAAATACACATGTATACACAAAACATTGAACTAATAGATTCCAAATGTTAATTGTAGGTATCTCTAGAGAATGAAATTATATTTTAAATTTATTCTTATTTACATACGTGTATCAGTTACAATAAATATATATTGCTTTTGTAATAAAGAAAAAAGGTATTGTCTTTTTAAAAGACATAACAAATGCACACCTCATAGACTTTATAAGGGACTACTTATACTTAAACTATATCTGCTTAACATTTATTGCTTAACATTTATTGCTCATATATACATTAACTTTTACAATTAGCCAAGGAAAAAATGCATTAATATATTTAAAATTATATTGAACTAGTGTCCAGAAAACTAAAACTTAAAAAACAACAACAACAACAAAGTTCTCAAGCCTTAAATACCTTGTAATAGGCTTCTGCTCGACAAATATAGCTTTGAATATGTAATGGATTGATTCTAATAACCTCAGAAAAATACTGAACAGCTTCAGTGTAGTTATCCAGATGCAGCAGATATATGAGACCAATATTTACATAAGCCAAAGTAAAAGTTCTAGGGGAAAAAAGGCAAAATCTTGTTAGGTATTTTTATTTATTCCAGATGTTCACCTCTTATGAATGAATCTAATGAAATACATACATTAGGGCATTTTTAATGTTTTGTAAAGCAAATATACTAATTAACTATTCTCTATTTAAAATGATAAACATCTTTATAAACCCTTGGTAGGGAATTAACATGAATAAAGTTGGTGATAGGAACAGAATTTCTGAAGTCTTCTAGCCTCTTAGCAATACTGTAACTCTTCCTTAACTTTGAAACACAAAGTTAATTTTCCTCAATTCAGAAGTCTTTGCCTTAGGCCACTAAGCTGGCCAGGAGTAACAGGAAGAAAACAGTGAGAAATTAGTGTCCTAGAGATGATTATATAGAAAGAGGGCGTAGAGTAGTGGTTTCTAGAGACTGGGAAGGGCAGGGGAGAGTAAGGATAGAAATGTTCGTCAATGGATATAAAATTATAGTTAAAGGAACAAGTTCTAGTGTTCTATACTACAGAAGGGTAACCACAGTTAATGATCATTTATTGTATATTGATGGTTAGCTAAATGTTTTCAACACGAAGTAATGACAAATGTTTGAGATTATGTATATGCTAATAACTCTAATTTGATCATTACACATTGTATTAATGTGTAAATTATTTACAATTATTAGGCATCAATTAATTTTTTATTTTTTATAAATTTTCAAGGATAAAAATGTTTTTAATCTAATGAAAGAATAGTATGATGCTGATGTGGAAAATTTTTCTAATTGTATAAGTGCAATAAAATATTCTGAACTTACTGTAAAAAAAAGTTGTATTCTAATTTTAGAATGATTTTATAACTGTCTCACTTTCTACTAGGTTACCAACGATGAAAAAAGAAAGGTTCTTTTTTCTTTTTTTTTCCCCTTAATTTTATACAAAAGTGAAATCGTAAGTATAAAAAGGAAAACGTACCTTTCTAGAGAAACAACAGTCTCAAAGTCACAGATTGCCAGCAACCACAATTTTAGTTGTGTGTAGAGTATGCCCCGATGTAGGAAACAACTAAGATTTTCGTAGCCATCATTTATGAGGGCTTAAAAATAAAAGTATATATATCTTATTCAGGTTCTGAACAACCATCTCTGAGTTATGTTTTAGTCTATAGCCTTCTTATTGCTTATTCTTACTTTTTAACATCACAAATAAATCATATGTATAATTATTTGGTGAGTAAAAAGTAGTACTGTACATAAAAAATGTAATTGTTAACTATTAGCAGGGCTATCACGGTTCAAACACTCACTAAAGCAGGGAGAAATCAGTGATAATCCGGTGTAGTCCACTCATTTCACAGACAATAAGATTAAGGTCCAAAAGCACATGACCACATCCACAAAACAAGTCACTGGCAAGGTGGACCTAGAGTCTAACTACAGTCAGAAGGCTACCAATGCCCTTGATGGCCCGTTAGGATCACGAAGATGTAATTACTGGCCAAGGAACAGGCTCAGGTACATGTCCAGACCAAGACAGATGGCAGAGGTCAAATTAACATAATGATTTGGATGGGCAGTTGCAAAGAGGTAAGAAGAACTTGGAGTTAAGGCAGCCCATTTGACTATGTACATCCAAAATAAGAGAAAGGGGCAAAAAGAACTTCCACTTAGTACTCCAGGTGTGTGATTCTCATCAGTAACCAGCCCTAAAGGTCATAGTATGTCTCTGACTTACTGAGTCCTTATTTCCTTTCAAAACCATACGATATCATCTATACTATACATAATACAATACAGTATGTATCTACGGTTTTTGCCTTAGGATACATGTGCTTGCTGGAGAGAGACAGTGAGAGGCAAAAAGAGAGAAATCACCTGGCCACACCACAGTCCCTTCTCTTCCATTATTCTCCCAGGATCTTGGGCACACAGGCACATTTGCCCTGCATGAGTTTCAAGCCACGGGGTCTGGGACTAGAACTGCGATCGGCCATGTTGGAGCCCAGTAACATAACCACTATACCATCTGCTAGCCCCTATATAAGAAAATTTTAATGAGTAAGTATATATACTATTGGGTCGTCAGGAAAATCATGATGCATTTTTTTTTTTTTTGGAGAGGTTTTTGCTATAGCACACATGCACTCGCCAGACAGACAGAGAGAGACAGAGAGACAAAAAGCGAGAAATCACCCCCCAGGGGGGATGGCCATGCCGCAATCCCTCTCTTCCGTTCTCCTCTCGGGATCTTGGGCATGCACGCACACGCGCCCGGCGTGAGTTTTAAGCCACCGGGTCCAGGACGCAAACTGCGGTCGACTCCATGGGAGTCCAGCGACATAGCCATTACACTAACTGCTGGTCCCATGCATTTTTACATAGAAAAACAAACAAACAAACAAACAAAAAAATACGTCATGTCTTTCCTGATGACATAATAGTATATAATAATATACATATTACATTAGTGATCCCACATCAGTATTCTGCTCTTCGAAATTATGCTACTGAACTTCAAATCAGATTTCTACATATGCAATTGAAAGCAAAGTACCTGAAACACTATAGTCCTGAAGTGCTCTAAAAGGGTTACTCTTTCTAAATATGCAGGCTCGATAATAAAATGCTAACCAGTTATTAGGATCTAAGTGAATTGCAGCAGAAAAGTCTTCAGTTGCTTGTTTATAAAAGTGCCGTTTAAAATATGCTCTCCCTCGTAATGTCCTAAAAATTAAAAAAAAATCATTTTTTAGCATGTATTGTAAAATATATATCTTCTTTTTGATAAGCTTGCACAACTAATTTTTTTTTTAAAGGTTTTTGCTATAGGGCACGTGTGCTCGCCAGACAGACAGAGAGAGACAGAGAGATAGAAATAGAGAAATCAGCCCCCAGGGGCAATGGCCATGCTGCAGTCCCTTCTCCTCCATTCTCCTCCTGGGTTCTTGGACACGCACGCACACGCGCCCGGCGTGAGTTTTAAGCCACCGGGTCCGGGACGCAAACCGCGGTTGACTACATGGGAGTCCAGCGACATAGCCATTACGCTAACTGCTGGTCCCAACAACTAATTTTGAATAACAATTTGTGATTAGTTCTACTTCCCTCTCAAGAGTTTAGTCATGATGTAAAAATGACAAACTTTTTAAAAATAAGGTATACTGGGGGTGGGGGTGCTGGCATATAACATGATAGTCAAGGCAGCTGGACTCCCACATGACTGAGTGCAGTTCGAGTCCTGGACCTAGCAGCTTGCTTACTTACTTTCCTTCTCTCTCACTGTCTCTCTCTGGTCAGCTTAAAGAAAACAAAAAATAAAATAAGATAATGACAATGAATAAAATTAAATAAAATAATTCTTTAAAAAGTATATTTTATTTTATATATATAATTACATTTATAATTAAATATTTTATTTCATACATTTATCAAGATTTGTCAATAAAATAAATGCAGTATTTATTTATTTTTATTATTCATTGAGTACTCAATGTGTTAGGCAGTCATATGATTCCATTAGTTGGGGTTCTTCAAAGAAACAGAACCAACAAGATCATTAGGTCATTGGGAAAGTCATGACACATTTTTGTATAGAATATATATGTAAAAGAAAAGATTTATAATAAGAATTAATCACAAGGCAGAGAGGTACTACAATATACTGTCTACAAGATGAAGAAACAGCTGGAAGACCCAGAAGCAGAAAAGCTGGTATAGTTCCCATCTGAGTTCCAAAGGGGATCCATATCCATAGAAGACTGTAGCCTAAATGCTCTCCCTGGCTACTGGTGTGAGTCCAAAGTCCAAAGATTAAAGAACGTGAAATCTGTTTGCCTGGATGAGTGCACAGACCGGAAACCAGCAGAAACATACAGCCAATGTCTAAGTAGAAAAGCAGGGATGGGACAGGTAGAATGTGTAAAACATGCAACACCCTATGCCAGGAGGACGAGGGAGAAAAGAAAAAGAAACAGCACCCTACTCCTTCAGTTTGTCCCTTCCATGCTCCCAGCTGATTAAATGGTGCTGGCCCACATTGAAACGGTTCTTCCTCTCAGTCTGCTAACTCAAATGCCAATTTTTCTGGCTACACTCTCATAAGCACACTTAGAAACAATATTTCACCAGCCTTCCAGACATCCTTCAATCCAGGCAAATTGATGCCCAAAATTGACCATCATACCATTCATTAACATGAAGTTCAAAAAATAGATAAAACTAAACTAAAACCCTAGATTTAATTACACTTATGTAATGAAACTATGAAGAACTAGAAGGAAGTGACTAAAATAAAAGTCATGACAGTGGTTAACTTCTAAGACAGCAAAAATGCAAGGGGATTTCTAGAGCACTGGAAATGTTTGATCAGATGTTACAAAGGGATTTACACTGTGTTAAGTCTTGAAATTGTATATTTCTATTTTTTATAGTTTTTTATACATGCTTTATTTTAATATAAATACTTCAAAATTAAACAAAATTTGCAAGTGAAAAGATAAGATGGTGCTGGAAGGTAGGAGAGTGATAATACATGAAGCTCTGAATGGCTAACCCACATAAGAGAGTTTTAAATTCATGTATAGAGACCTTCCTGAGTATGCCAGGCATGCATATGCTTATGACATGGGACTGGCAGAAGCTGAGAATGGATTGTAGCATAAAGACCCTATTAGGGGGACCAGCATTTAGCGTAATGGCTATGTCACTGTACTCCCATGTAGTCGACAGTGGTTCGAGTCCCAGACCCGGTAGCTTTAAACTCACGCTGGGCGCATGTGTGTGCGTGCCCAAGATCCCGAGAGGAGAAAGAAGGAGAAGGGATTGCGGTGTGGCCATCCCCCCTGGGGGGTGATTTCTTGCTTGCTGTCTCTCTCTCTCTCTCTTTCTGGCGAGTGCATGTGCCCTATAGCAAAAATAAAAACCTCTCCAAAAAAAAAAAGACCCTATTAGGGGTGCTGTTTCACAGACTCTCTCTGTAAGTGTCTTACCCATAGAATAAATAATTTTTTATATAAAAAAGAAATTTAAAAAAAAGATGTCTATATACACATTTTAAACCTCTTCAAAACAAAACTTAGATTAAAAGAAAAGCAACAAAATTAGAACTATACAATGATTAATAAGGATGGAAAAATAAAGTTTAATATATAATTTACAGCAAGATGTTACAGAAATCTATATGAATAGTCCTCTGTACTCAATGAATATACAAGGTATAAAGAAAGAAATTGAAGGGAGGAAAATACAGGCAATGGCCAATGCTTTAAAAATTGATAATGTAACTATTATTTAGGAAATAAAATCAAAACGACTCTAAATTGTCATTTGTGTCTATGAATAAGTTAAATTGCCATTATCATTAGGTTAGAAATAAGGAATTTCTTCATCCACTGATAGTAATTTATTATTTTTAATGGGCTGTCTGTATATTTCAAGCAAATTTCTCTCCTAGTAATGTATTTCAAAAAAGTAATTACAAAAACTACATCTAAAATAATTCGTACCTTGCTTGTGAATCTTGATGATTTATATTTAACAATGCTGTAAAATCCTGTATGGCCGCACTCCAGTTTTCATTTTCATAGTAAAATATTCCACGTTTCAATAATGCATCTGTTCTTTTCGGATCATATAAAATACACTATGGGGTTGGGGGAAGACACATAAATATATCACACAATGAAAAAGAACTAAGAAAAGTATAAAATCGCATAGGATTAAATTGATCGCAAGCATTTTTTTAACTTCAATTTACATAAAAGCAACTTATTATTACTATTATTATTTATTTGCTCTAGAGAGAGACACAGCGAGAGAGGGAAAGTGTAGAATCACCTTCCAGGGGAGATGACCACACTGCAATCCCTTTTCCTCTTCTCAAGATCTTGGGCATGCACACACATGCATCCAGTGTGATTTTCATGCTGCCAGGTCTGGGACACAAACCACACAGCTGGTCATGTAGGATCCAGCACCTTAACCTCCAGGCCACGTGCTGGAGCAGCAATATTAAAATGTAATATTTTCAGATTTGTGTCTATAGGCTTTATCTTTAGGAACTCTATCCATCATCAAATTCTACAGAGGAAAATTTTTTTAAGGAAAAAACCAGCATACACAAGAAACCAAGGTTTTTGTCTACTAACAAAATTCTCTGATAAAAATTAAAAAGTGAACTGTTCTCCTACAGTGAGATTATATTGGATCTATTAAAACATTTTATCCTAATTGAAGATGAAACATATTAGGACACATCAAAGCTGATCCAGTTGCATCAAATATCTATAAATCCAGTACTAAGATGGGGAAAAGAAATTTTTAAAATCCAAAAATGTCAGTAAAAAAAGAAATAATAAAGATTCAAGCAAAAATAAAATAGAAAATAAAAGAACTATACAGAAAATAAATGAAAGCAAAAGCTGGCTCTTTAAAAAGGTATACATGAATTTATAAATAAAATTGACACACCATTAGCAAGACTAATTAAGGAGAAGAGAGAAAGGAACTTGATAATTCAAATTCACAATGAAGCAGGCAGATATAATGGAAATACAACAAATCATTACAGAATATTCTGAGTGACCCTACACCAATAAACAAGAAAACCTGGATGAGATAGACAAACTTCTGTACAAATATATGCAACCAAGATTGAATCAGGGAGACATAAAAAGTCTGAATACACCTATAACAAGCAATGAGATTGAATCAGTAATAAATAACCTCCCAACAAAGAAAAACCCAGGTCCTGATGGCTTCACTTCCAAATCCTAGAAAACTTAAAAAAAAAAAAAACTAACCCCATTCTACTCAAATTGTTGCTAAAGATCTGAAAGGAAGGACCCTCCCTAATTAATTTCATAAAGCTACCATTACCATCATCCCCCAAACAAATAAGAACATGACAAAAAAGGAAACGTGCAGGCCAGTATCTCTGATAAATATAGATGCAAAAATGCTCATATAAAAAAGGTTATACATCATGACCAAATAGGCTTTAATCCAAAGATGCAACATACACAAAACCATAAATGTAATACACCATATTAACAGAAAAAAATATGATCATATTAATTAATGCAAATAAAACATTTGATAAAATACATTCCTTCATGTTTAAGACTCAGCAAAATCGGCATAGAAGGGACATTGCTCAACACAGTAAAAACCATCTATGAAAAACCCATAGTTAACATCATA